CTTTCTTTTGTATAGTTTTGGTATCGGCTCAGTAGTTCGATACTGGCGATTTTATGAAGTTAAAAAAGTCCTTTTTTTTTACAAAAATCGAGGTCGAAAATTTACATATCTTTGGGATAGCCTTTAGTTCTTTCAGCGATGCGCTTTTAATGTCATCTATGCTTGCAAAACGACGGCCCTTTAAGGTTCTCTTTATTTTTGGGAATAGGAAAAAGTCAGACAGAGGCATGTCTGGCGAATATGGAGGCTGGGGAATCATTACAGTATTGTTTTTGGCCAAAAATTTTATTCAAAATTTAACAATTTTGGAACAAATTTTACTGCCACGCGTTTCATACCCAAAACATTCGAAAAAATTTCATGATGAGCCAATCGATATACCAACATCATCAGCGACTTCTCTGATGGTTTATAACCATTTCTTCCACTTTTCCATGTTTTTATCGGTTGTTAATGAGCTTGTGCGTTCGGGGCGTTCGTCATCTTCAACGTCTTCACGGCCATCTTGGAAACTCTTATACCACTTGTAAACTTTTGTTTTACTTATAGCAGACTCACATAGGCCTTTTCACAGAATTTATTTCATTTTTTAAGCAAAATTGGATACAAATCTCAATTTATCACCATTTGATCAAAACTAAAAAGTACACTTTCTGAAAGCTTTTAAAGCCGTTTAAACTTGTTTGTGTTTTAGCGCATTACCACCAACATCGGAGAATCTTTTGATAGCTGACACCCCGCCAATGGCCACCATTAGCGACCTCTTGCATCGCACCAAGTTCACCTTCAAACCGGAAACAAGGTCGGACATTCCTCTGGAAGCAAACATCAACAAAATGATCCCATTGGTCGCGAACGAGGTATCTGCGCCGGTTCCTGCCGTTCAAGACAAGAGCGACTTGAAGTCGTTCATGGACAAACCAAAGGTGGACATAAAAAGTTTGAAGTCGTTTAAAAGGATTGAAGAAAGCGCCTTGCGGCTGAATCCTTTGAAAAACAAGGAGGTGGGGAGAGGAAAGAAGAAACCTCCAAATGTGCCCAGTGGATTGTTCAGCAAGTGAGTCTTTATTTTATTTGTGAACCTTAACACCATCCATGGTGTTAAGAAAAAGAGTAGGGTAAAGTAGACAGTTATCGGACACTTTATAGTTATTGGACACCCTATTGTAAATGACCAATATAATCCAATAAAAAATAAGTAATTGGTTTAAAATGTGTTTTGGCGCTATGAATCACCAATTCATTCCAGTTGAATTCCTATTGGTAATTTCCAACGAAGTCAGCGGGTTGAATTGGAAAATACCAGTAGAATCCAATAAAAAATAAGTAATTGGTTTGAATTGGTTTGAAATGTGTTTTGGCGCTATGAATCACCAATTCATTCCAGTTGAATTCCTATTGGTAATTTCCAATGAAGTCAGCGGCTTGAATTGGAAAATACCAATCCATGCCTATGCTTGTCTCTATTGGCTAAATCCAATAGAAATGCAAATGGAATGAATTAATTCAATGAATAACCAATTCAATGAATAACCAATTGGTTATTCATAGCGCCAAACCCATTCCAACCAATTAATTTTTTAAAATTTGGATTAGAAAATACCTACAAGTTTATTTGTCATTCAAAAATAATTTTAGATCCCACAAGGATAACCGGGTAAAAACAAGAATTCATTTTTCACAGAAGAGACAAAAAATTTATTGTTACTGAGTAATTTTATTTCTTTATTATTTTTTTTTGTGATATATGTATGTATTGTTACATATAACTTACTATCACAAAAAAAGTAACACAAAATAAATAAAATTACTCGGTTATAATCATTTTTTTGTCTTTCTTGCAAAGGATGTTTGTAGGCATGGTCGAAGTCGATATTGTTTATGTCAATTTTTTTTATTTTGCCCGCTGTGACATTCTTAAGCCATCGTCTCTAAACCTTACACATATAAACATTTTTTTAATAAGTACACTACTAACACTAGGCACTGAAATCGACTGATAAAAAAAACCGCTAATAAATGGCGTCCAAAGACTTTTGCGCAGCTACACGAGAGCCCTCTTGCGATATTTGTATTGTATTGGGAATAACCAATTAGCAGATTTTTCGAATCTTACACTGGGAGATCCCAATTGAATTTAATTGGAAATTACATATAGGTAGCTTTATCCAATCGAAACCAAAACAAACCATTAGAATCCTAATTGGACTTTTCCATCATGGAAAATACCAGTAAAAACCAATTTCTGTTTTATATCGCGCCCAATTAAATCCAGTAAGTCCAATTCAGACTCATTGATACCAACCAATACTTCAATCGGTCATTTACAACAGGGCAATAACTATACCTTTATTTTACCTTTTCTTTACATCCAGTATTTTATATTTTACAGAGTTAAATCCATGGTGTCAGCTCCAGTTCTCTCACTAACAGTCTACAAATCGGAAGAAAAAAAAGTAGAAGAGAAAAAACGCCCTCAAAGCGAAATACGAATGAGCATAACGCAACAGGTTTTAATGGAAAAACGGAAAAAACCTGGTCAAAAGTTTGCTTCTAATTATCAGGTTAAGGCTGCTATTGAATCGCCTCAAAATGCAAAACCTTTGAAGGCCACCAGAACGCATTCGTTGATACCTGTGAGACAGGAACCTAAACCTGTCAACCACTACAAACTTGATGAAGTTAAGGATGTTGTTCCTGTCAACAACTCGCAAACAACGGTGATGCTTGTACACAAGGAAGACACCAACAAACGAGGTGATGACGGCAAAGAGGAAAAATTGGAGGCAAAGATTAAGAGTTTTGTCAAACCTTTCCAGCACTTGAAACCAGAACCTCGGGAGACCAGAATAGCATCTTTGAAAAAGTTCAGTCAAACCCTAGGGCAAAAGCAATCACTAAAACATCAACCTGTTGTCGAACAAGATGCAACAGTGGACGAAGCTGCAATAAGAGCACAAATAGATGATTTTTTCAAGCAGTCTGAAGCGTTGGCCAGTGCCTTGGTAAATGAGTTGGCGGAAGCCCAAGACATAATAAAAGACTTGGAGACGGATTTGGGCATGGAAAATGTGGCGGTGAATGAGGAAGATGAAGAAGTAATACTAAAGGACAAGGAGGATATAGTTCCCCAAAAACTTGCCAGAAAAGATACTACCATTATTGAGAACCCAACGTTTAATTTCTCGTCTTCACCTGATGAAAACTGTGAAAATGTCAGTAGTGTTAATAGTAAAAAAATGTCTAAAATACCGGTTAGGAATATAAATGAGCACCCCTTACTAATGAAGAATAAGAAGTCTTATTAAGTGATGTAAATTGTCAATTAAAAGTATTTATATTTTCTTAGATGTATTGCATTTTCATGTTTTGCCAAAGGATCCAATTCGGTAAGTACATTTGTTGGTGCAGAATTAACCAATGATAACTTTACCTAATATAATTTATATTTAAGTTTGGACATTTTTAAGAAATTAGTAAAAAATAATGTTTGCACAAACATAACCTTAAAATCAACCATTTTTATATTTGAGTTCTCTAAAAAACGCTGACAACTGCATTTTAAACAACAAAATATACCTACGAATTCATGGCAACATAATATTATATATAATACATAATATAATGGTATTTTACCGTTAAGTTAACTTTAAAGAATTCTTAATCAACGCTTTTAATAATGCTAAATGCTGTTTAAATTTACGGTTTTCCCGATATTTTTTAACATTCTCCTGAGTATATATCAAAAATTGTAGTTTTGTTACGATGATAACAACCTTCTTTAGCTTATATCTTTTAAACTATGCAATTTATTGAATTAATGCATGGAATATTTTTTTTCTACTCCTATTACGGAATTTGACCGTTCTAATATTACTTATCTATGGAATGACATATATTCCGTAAAGTGTTACAGAATGAAATATTCTATCATCGAATGAAAGAATAACACATACTTCCAAGTAGGTATGTGCAGAATAAACACTCGTGGCGACATCTCTTTTTTTTAATTTTAGACCGATCCAACCTCACTTTCTTCCAATTAAATTATTTTTCTATGGTATTTTTTGGAAAAGTATTGTCTAAAACACAATTGCATGCTGTATTTCAAACTTGTTACAGAATATACTATTATAGGAAACTAAAATTGTCTACAAAAATCTTAAATTTTTACCTGTATTTTTAACTGATTCGTAAAATTGAAAAAATATTTTGTTATTTGCTGAAACTTTAGGGGCATTTTTTTCTTGATATGTACATCAAAAATCAAACAAAAATGTTTCTTTAAAACAAATCACCCTAAATACATTTTTGGCCATAAAGATGCTTTAAAGTCAAAATTAACGCATAAGTAAAAAATTTTAACTCCAAAACGCCTTTACCAATCTTTATGAAATTTTGAATAAAAATACTTCAACTTATATCTCAGTTTAAATGTTTGAGGGTTTTTCGAGAAAATATTTATTTAATAATAAAAAAACGTTCAAAAAATAACTTTTAGGGAATTTTTTTAACTAAATAAAAAATATGCTGATAAAGACCGTAATTTTGTTAGTATACCCTGAAAATTTTGTACAGGGTGATCCCCTATAATGTCGCCCCCCTTTAACTTTTTTAAATTTAGGTATATGGTATGTTATATGAAATATGCTTAGAACTTTACAAGGAATTGAAAATTAAATACATATATAGGGTGATCCATTGAAAAAAAATAAACTTTTTGTGTTTCCCTGTATACTGATCAATTTTCCAATTTTCTTTATACGTAGAAAAAAGGTATTTTTAGTACCTACATAACCACACTTTTTACTTATTATGCGTTAATTTTGACGGGCAGTGTATAAATAATAAAATTGAAACGTTTTTGTTGAATGAAACAATGTAACAAGTTTTATTTTTTATTGTTTTTACTAGTTTTTTGTTTTATTTTAAACAAACCAGTAATTTTCTCATTTCTTTATACCTATATAAATAAAAAAAATAATGTTTCGATTTTTTTTTTATTCAATCACAATTTCACTGTTACTCTTTTTTTCGTTTTCCGCCCCCACAATCACGACACTGCTGTCAGAACCGTCACTAGAAATACTTATTACACTCAAACTTGAAAAACTCGACTCGCTGGAAGAAGAGTTGCTGTTTGAACTGCTGCTCGAACGAGACCTCGATTTTCTCCTCCTTTTGCGATTTTGTGTTTGTTTTTCCTTCCTATCGACCTCTCTGCTGCTCGATTCTTCCTCGTTCTCCTTAATGTAGGCCTTGATGAATTTTATTTTCTCAAACCATAACTTACTCTTCTCCTCTTTCTTTCTCAATGGATGCTCTGTATCGTAAGCTTTCCTCTTGGCAGGTGGCTCGATGACGTTGTTTTGCTTAAATTTTTCCTGCTTTGTGTTTATTCTGCGGAAATAAGATAAGCAATAGAGTGATTCATTTCCGCAAAGTTTTTGTTTTCTTCGGTGCTCAAGCAAAATATTAATCTGCATATAGAAAAAAAAATTCTCAACAAGTTTGAGCTCTTAATATAAATTTTAAGTACTTACTATTTAAATTTAAAGTTTTTACCGTTTAAAATGCATGTAAAAAATATATTTTTTTTTTCAAATTTATAATGCTTACCCACCTTTGACAATATTGCAAATCGGTTTAATACACCTTATGGGGAATTTCACGCTCTTTAAAATTGCTTTTGAGTTTTTTTTTGCGCATTGGTTCACCAGTAGGAGTCGTCAAAGGACAGTTTTTGAAAAAAATCGTTTTTTTTTAAATTTTTTCTAACAAACCGCAAAAATTAGGGAGAAAAAAGGGGCTGAATCATAAAAAAAAGTTATCCAACCAATATTTAATGAATTTACAGCCATTTTTATAACTGAAAACGTAAGAAATTGATAATTACCAACTCATAATGTTATTTAGATTGATTTTTTCTATTTATTATCATTATATTTCCCTACACTAAGAAGTTTTTTAAAATTATTGATTTCTCACTTATAATGAATATGAAAACAACAGATAAATTCATAAAAAAAACAATAAGAAAATTGTAACGTGGATTTTGCAATTTTTCAACATTTCTGTCATATAGCAAAAAAATATAAATTAAGATTATTTAATTTTTTGAAGCGAAATTTTAAATATGTTACATAACCTTCTGTATATTCCGATTAAAGTTTTGTTGTTTTTTTATGAATTTATGTGTTGTTTTCATATTCATTATGAGTGAGAAATCATAATAATTTTAAAAAAGTTCTTAGTGTAGGGAAATATAATGATAATAAATAGAAAAAATCAATCTAAATAACATTATGGGCTGGTATTTATCAATTTCTTACGTTTTCAGTTATAAAAATGGGAGTAAATTCATTAAATATTGGTTGGATAACTTTTTTTTTATGAATCTGCCCTTTTTTCTCACTACTACGATTTGCTCGAAAAAATTAAAAAAAAACGATTTTTTTCAAAAACTGTCCTTTGACGACTCCTACTGGTGAACCAATGCGAGTTACAAAAAAAACTCAAAAGCAATTTCAAAGAGCGTGAAATTCCCCATAAGGTGTATTAAACCGATTTGCAATATTGTCAAAGGTGGGTAAGCATTAGAAATTTGAAAAAAAATATATATTTTTTACATGATTTTTAAACGGTAAAACTTTAAATTTAAATAGTAAGTGCTTAAAATTAATATTAAGAGCTCAAACTTGGTGAGAATGTTTTTTCCTATATGCAGATTAATATTTTGCTTGAGCACCGAAAAAAAACAAAAACTTTGCGGAAATGAATCACCCTAATAAGCAATTTTTAATTTTTCTACGCATAACCTAACAAACCTTTTATTGGTGGTAACCAAGTGATTCACTGTTCTTTGAAAGAAATTCAAGTTCGGCCTCAATCTAGTACTCTCCTGATTTAAACCACTAATCCTAGCACTCGATTCTTTCAGTAAAGCTGCAATAACTTCCCTAAAACAATAACAGATAACAATTGTTAACAACAAAACATAAAAAACCACTTACTCATCGGTAACCAGCGATTTATAATACTCCCTTAGATCCGCCATCATTCAAATTATCACTTTTAAGTCGATTTCAACATTTTTAATGCCTTAAACAGCTAAAATTATCAAAATTAAAGACTTTTGTTGACATGTTTTGACGTTTCAGGACGCTTGTTAAGCATTGCCAACATAAAATGTTAAACGGTTTGACGTAATCTGGGTTGCATAAGCATTCATCAAAAATCGTTGTAAGAGAATTTTTATCACTTGAAATGTGTTAATTACGCTAATTGTAAAAGCATTAATATAACATTTGCTTTAATTTAAAATACCACAGGTATTTTTTTATACAATAAATTCAAAAAAATATTTCTTGCAAAACATTGGAGAAATCCACGTAGGTTTTGAGCAATAGCTTCCGTATTCAAAGAATTATTGTTATTTATTGAATTCGGGTCATAAAATAAACAGTATAAAGCAATGCGAACATTAATTTTTTTTTGCTTCAAGGAAATTTCGTCGGTTCGATTTCTCTTTGTTAAGTTTGTTTGTTTTTATTAAAGAGTGCTTTTTTACATAACTACATACAATTTAATAGTATATATGTATCAAGTTTAATAAACGCCAATTTATACACGAATTTAATTTAGGCACGTTCTTAAATTAATGAGTGTATAGAAAAGTTTATAAACGAGGTGCATACTATACTTTTTCTACGACAAATACTTATTATTATCTTAAAATGATTTAAATCAAAAAATTTGTATGGAGCGCCATCTATAACAGGGGAAACTGTCAAATGTCACATTTTTACATTTTATAAACACAATTACCTATAAAGGTTATAAATCGAAATGTATATTGAAAATTGATAGTTTTTCACAGTGATCACTATCGATAGTAAAGGAAATGTTTTATGAGGACTTTACAGTAGAGTCCGTGCCCGAATTTAAGTTATAGTTTACTGCCGGCGAAATTAAAAGGTCAGTACAATGTTCATATAAACTTTTCAAATATTGGCGTTGAGAAACTATTTAATATTTTTGTATTTTGGTATTGAGATAATAAAATAATTTTCACATTTAGTATTATTTTACAAGAAAGGCACTTTATTTTAACGATTGTATGACATTTGACAACTGTCAACTAACTTAAAAGTAACTTCAGCCCGTGACTAAAAACCTGTTGCCAACTTCAGCCCGTGACTAAAACGCCATAAAGCCACAACTTGTCAATGTGTATTTAAAAGGTCACTTAGTGTCATGGAAACATGTACGATAAAAGGCGTTTTAAAGGTGGGAGTAGAAAAAATTAATTATTAATATGATATTTAGTACAGTCAATGAGTGTTTTTAAAAGTAACAAATTTAATAGATAACAAGTTAACTTAAAAATCTAAAATTAAAAATGAATACACAATGGACAATAAAAGAGCATCAATAATTTTACGTGTATAGGAATACTAATGAAGGTAAATAATAAAGTGAAAGATGCATACTTATAGAGAGCGACAGTGACGAACAGAGAGAATTAAATCGGCTCACCGCATGTTTTATGAGTCATTGGCGTGCGAACAAAACCAAAGAGATATTTGCAATAATTCATTGGATGGCCCACATTGCATGGTCGGTACATTATCATCATCCACCGCAAATATAAATTATATTAATGGGAGATTGTTAATCTCTTTTTTGGCTAATTTACATTCACCCACAATTTGTGTGTCACAAACCTGTTTCTTGATTAGGTCGAAAAATAAACTGGGCAACAAAAAAACGTGCCCATATTTTTAGGGTTTGATACGGGCTGTAGTTAGTTTTAAGTTAGTTGACCGTTGTCAAATGTCCTAAAATAATAGTAAATGTCACGTGAAAATTATTTTTTTATCTCAAATTATTATTAAATTAAAGGATAAAATATGTTCTTAATATTATCATATTTTGAAGTTATTTTAATATTTTAGTATCAATAATTGTTAAGTTTAATAAAAACAATAACGGGCAATGATAATGGTGAAAAACTTACATAATATCCCAAGAAACAATTTGTACAACTTATGGTAACGATAAATTATATAAAGGTTATATAAGAGTTATCAAATTATATAAGAGTTTAACAAGGTTTTATAAAATCGCCATTTAGTTTACTAGTTTTATAATGGTCATATAAGGTTACTGTAAACTCTAGGTATATAATCAGGTTACATAATTGTTTCTACAAACATTTTATATAACCTTTAGCAACCGTTACCAGTAGGTTTATAAAGGTGTTTTATAAAGTTTGCGTTTACCTGTTTTATAAAACTATAGTTAATATATTACCTTTAAATATTTAAATATTTATGTTTTCGTAATTTGATGTCCCTTGTATTTTTTCGAAGTATTGTGTACATATTTACTATAAAAATTACTTTGCACTTTAAGTCGTATTGAGTAAAAAATTTTAGATTGAAATTATTCACCATAAATATTAATATTAAAAAAAGGAAAAAGCCAGTAGCAGTTCTTTAGGAAGTTATATATTGTTTCCATAATATTCTTGTCATCTCTGGTTATAAAACTTGGTTTTTATAGTGTTACTAAAATAGGTACCAAGTACCAATAACCTTGATAAACCCCAAATAAGCTCTTTAAGAGTTATATAAGAGTGATATAAATATTTATGTAACCAAATTAAGAAATTTAGGTATTATAATTTGGACGATATAATATTTATGCAAACCACTGTAAATTGTTTATTGGGATACTAATCTCATTAAAAAAATTGCACAGTACCATACATTTTTAGATTGTTTAATATTTCCAAGATTTTCATATTTTTAATTTTTATTATTTAAATTTCTAATCAAAGCTTTATTAATAATTGTGTTTAATCTAACTGCGAAAATTTAAAAAAAGAAATAAAAATATTCGCACAGTGGGGTAAATTAAAAATGGTAGGACAAATTCGCACAGTAGCATACAAATATTAAAAAAAAGTATTCACATTTTTTTAATTTCCAAAATTTCCACATTTTTTTTAATTTAAAATTTTTATATTTTTCGAAACTTTTAAATCATTAATTTTTTAATTGTATTTAACTTTAGGTGTATTTAAATCTGAAAAATATTTATAAAATAAATAATCTTTCTTTCAATAAAACTAAAAAAAGTAAGACACTGAATGTGCGTTAGAAAATTTGACACACATAGATAAAAATCTGCGCACCCATATTCAAAACACGATTTTTCGTTCTGTCTGATTGATCAAGAGACGAAAAAAACAATAAAACAGACCGAAAAAAAAACATCCGCACAATACGATTTATTTATGACACAGTTGAACTTTCACGATGGCAAAAGTCTAGATAAATAAATCTATCGATTAATCCTTAATTAGAACTTGACGAAACCAATTTAAGTGAATTAAGAATTTAGGATTGAAATTTCGTTGTGAATGTTTTCACTTTGCCAATCTGTTAAATTTAAAGCATTTTGAAGTGGATAACATAAAAAACCTAATGATTTCTAAAATTAATTATAATTTATACCTTAAATGAGGTATTTTTATTAAAAATAGTATAATAATCCTTTAAATTAAAGGATTTAATGCTGGCAGGTAAAAAGTGACCATGGAGCGCAATTGATAATTATCACAGAATGAAATAATGTATAAAACTTAAACCAGAGGAAACTTAAATATTAGTTAAACAATCGTGGGTACTTAAAAAAATTAGTTTTAATTTAATAAGATAATTGTTACCAAAAAAGTGATATTTTTATAGAAAAATTATTGCAGAATCGTATAAGAACAAAAATCGAACAAAATTGATCTATTACAAATATGAAAAAATAATTTAGACAAAATCTATACTGCCATGGTAAGCTAACAACGGTGAGATGTTCTTTTAAATGAAAATTCTTTTAGAGAAAAATCCTGGATATAAAATTTTGATAAAATTAATAAAATTGTAAGTTGTGAGACACGTGGAATATGAAGACTTCAATAAAATAGGACGTAGGTACGCCTATGTATTAGATAGGTAGTCATCTTAAACGGTATAGATAAAAAGTAGAACACAATGGAATATTCTAGACTTGCTAGATTAGACAGCCAAAAAAACAAATTTGCCTAAATAATTGTCATTTTTTGTACTCCTACTTAAGAATATTATTATTTGACCTCTTTGTTAAGGTTTGGCTAAATCTTTTTCTCTTAACGAGCATTTGGTTTTTTATCTGACACAATCGCATAATCATATTTTTTTTAACAAATTGACATAATAATTATTGTGAAAACAATAAAAGATTTAATCCTATCCAGGTCATTATCAACAGTATTATTGCGATATCCTTGTTTGTTGGTAACAATTAGGTAGGTATACGGTTTGTATTGTTTCTATTGACAAGGTTTTGGCAAATTAACAATAAACCTAATTTTAACAACACTACCAGTTTAATTACCTAATTACCAGTTTACATCAAAGACTATGTTAAAAGAAATGAAAATCACTTTGATTCAAGATTTGCTCTTTTGAATAGGCTATGTTTTTTAATCTAAATCAGAAACTATCTTTACATAATTTTTTTAAATTACTTTAGGGGAGAGATTGATCTCTTCGTTTAAGAATATTACAATATTAGCTTAAATCAAGAGGAAGGGATTTCTTGGTACAAGAGCCAAAAATATTTCTTCAGAAGATATTTCACTTTTGAATGAAGAGAACGTTGTTTTTCACTACAAACTATAAAACATTAAATAATGAATTTTTCATATTTTATCATAGATTCGAATAATAGCAATTTTTAAAAAATTGATAATCTTTGTACTTTTACCCGTCAGTTCTGTGTACAATTTTAAAATTCAAAATTCCTGCAAAATATTGAAGTTAAAACGCCAAGTCCTCGTTTTAACTCAAGTGTTGGTAAAAAATTACCTACAGAGCCCGCCCTTTGCACGACAGTCATCTTGAAAACAATGCAAGCGGCGAAGTTGTGGTGAATGCACGTATAGTTCCAGTTAAAATTTCAGTACTGTGGTGAGGAGTTATTTTCTTACGTATATATATTTCATTGTAATTTATATAAGGCTATATGTGATTTGTTGATAAGTAGCATCCACTAATAAAAAATTATAGTAAAATACTTAATTCCGAACTATAATCTCAAATTTGTATCCCATTCATCAGTATACCGTGTCGTCAGTTCCATGTTCGATGTTTCGGGTATCTTTTTTTCTCAAACTTCAATTAAAATTCTGCTTGCGCAGAACTTGTTTATTTAATGTCATTATGAACTCATATAAATTTGGTGTGGGTCCCATATCTAATAATATCGGTATACCCAAAATCCACCAGCCGCCACTGATGTGTGGTATTATTTGATTTTAAGATATTTAATGTATAATATGCTCAAAGTTGCAATAAATCTTATATTTTTCAATAAAATAAGTATTTAATTAGTACTCGTCACTTCCCTTGCATTCAAATTTAAAAAACACAGAAACTCTTTGAAAAAGTGACTGGCCCGGTCTGGAACAGTATATTTATTATATTATCTATGTTCTCATAACAAAACATATGATTTAACATAAAATTTTTATTACATATTTTAATAAATACCTTACCATTAAATTTCATTTATTTAAAAAGAGTTTTAATATTAAATTTTTAACAAGTCTGTTTTAAATAAATATTAATTTATTCATTGTATACACGGAGAGAAATGTATAGTAAATTTTAGATAGTTAAAAAAATATATTAAAATTTACTTTAAAAAATGTTTAGTTTAACAATATTAAATATTCGTCAGTAAAATATAAAGATTGTAATACGAAATAGTATTTTTTATTATACAATTTTAGTAAAGATTACAACACCAATATTATTAGATCAAAAATGTATAATACGTATTTTAATTTTAAATATATTCGTATAGTAAATTGATTTTACTATCTACAAATAGTAATATTTACTATATGATTTAATTAAATGTATTATACAAAATAATAAAATACACTATTTAGTTTGTTATGGGTTACGTATCTATTATATTTATTTTTAAAATTTACTATCTAATTATAATAAGAATTAAAAACAAAATTGGTTGAGAATAATAACCTTAAGGTTTAATATACATGGATATTTAAAAATTACTAAATATGCATAGTAACTGGCAATATACAAGATAGTTGTCCCAAATAGTAATATATAATATAGTAAAGGGTATTATAATTATGGTAATCAGTATTATACTTTTCTCTCCGTGTAGACAACAAAATTATGAGTCATTTAATTTTAATTCCCCATAAAAAGTAGATCACCTTAGAATCAAATTTACATTAAAAACTAGTTCAATTTGTTACAATTCGCATGTATAATCTAAAAATCTTGTTAGAGTAATGAGAAATAAATGTTTTTGTTCTAAAAACCAGTTAGGTGCTTTATTAATGCTTTCATGGTTGTAAAAAGTTTGTGGAAAAATTTATTAAGATTAAAAATATTTTAATGAATAATATTTTTTTTCCACTTTAACCTTCAAAATGCCCACTATCGTACATGTTTCCATGACACTAAGTGATTTTTTAAATACACATTGACAAGCTTTGGCTTTATGGCGCCTTAGTCATGGGTTGAAGTTAGTACCAGGTTTTTAGTCACGGGCTGAAGTTAGTTTTAAGTTAGTTGACATCTGTCAAATGTCATACAATCGTAAGATGTCGCTTTATAAAAATATTTAATTCAAATATTTGTTTAGATAATATTAAGTATTTGTCGTAGAAAAAGTATAGTATGCAACTCGTTTATAAACTTTTCTAGACACTCATTTAATTAAGCACTCGCTCGTGCCTAAATTAAATTCGTGAAAAAATGGCGTTTATTTTTTGGCAATGCTTCTATTTAAATGTAACAAAAGATTATTATACCTTACGTCATTTAAAAACTATATTACTGTTTAAAAAAAAACGTATACAGGTATCAATCAATGCAATGAAAAAGCATATATTATGACACAAACAAATACGTCAAGGTATTAATTTCAAACATTTATTTATCCATCGAGTTACTTCATACATATTAACAACATAACATCGGAAAAAGATTTACAACAAAATCAACTGTTATTATATGCAAAACAAATGAAAGTATGACTAGCTGTGTGTTTTTACCTGGTAAGGCATACAAATTATTTTGTAAAGGTTAAAAAATAACAATAATAACTTCAAAATTAAATCGTTTATTAAAATTATAATAACAGACAATAACAATACAATTAGAAGGCGGTTTTTGTAAAGTTAATTAAAACAAAATTAAATCGTTTTATTTCCCTGTAAATAATTAACCCATAAAACCACTAAACATTACATAAGTTGGCCATGAATTTGGGTAATTTTACAAAAAAAATGTTGCAGAGTTTTTTAAAAGGATTTAAACACCATTTAAGTCAATATATACTAGTTTTTCTTCAAAATAAAAAGTAAAAAATCAATTAATCATATTATAAGCTTAAATGGTAAATTAAAATCCACCCTCAAACGCTTGAGAGTCGACCGAATAGAGGCGAAATTTGTATACCCTGTGAAGCTCCTATAGTAAAAAAATATTTTAATGTGTTCTCCCAGGTGAAAGTTTTAGAGTGTAAAACATCAAACTACTTTCAATCCTAAAATATGGTCACTAGCTAAAAGCTACAAGCTTAATTGCGGTACACTTTAGTCCCCGTATACCCAAAGCAACGTTTCCAAGTTTGCAACATTCAAAAAATGTATTATTTACTTCATATCTGGAAGAATTGTTTATGCGTAAAATTACCCACCGCGCAAAATTCCCCCACCTTCCCCTACTACTACTACCCTAATAGCACACTTTATTCTAAGAATGTTTTTTAAACCTTCCAGTGGGAATATTCTTAGGATCATGCTTTATTTCTTCTAGGCATGTTTTAAGAATGTTTTTTAAACTTTCCAGTAAGAATATTCTTAGGATCATGCTATGTTTCTTCTAAAGAACATACTTAAAAGAAATATAGCATGATCCTAAGAATATTCTTACTGGCCTATAGGCAGGTTCTTAGAAGGTGCAAAGTTTTAGTGGTAAAAATTAGACTACTCTAAACATATGCTTAGAATGTTAAGAAAGTAATTGCCATAGAAATTTAATTTAGGAATATTTCTGTTAAGCATATTTAGTTCAGTTACCTATATAATAGTAAAATATACCATAAACTACGTGTAAAGGTATATACCTATACTTAAGTACATAATTAGTAATTAGTATTAAATACTAAGTAAAAAACAATCCAAAATATTTTTGTATAGTTATTTGTCAAATTAAAACAATATTCGATAACAAAAATACTTTTACTTTAGGTATTTTATTTTATGTTAAAAATAAATATTTATTAATTTGTATACCGATTTTTTATTTCTGAATTAACATTTTTATGTATAATAATCCTAACTATCTTCAGCTTCAATCTAATCTGACTTATCCCACAAAATTTTCCAATTTTACCTTTTATGAAATAATGTCATACAAATTATGGTTTGGAGGTCAAATTGTGTATTTAATATTTTTAAATAAATATATATTAATATGTCGCAAATTTTTTTAAAGGGACGACAAATACATTTCTGTCATATTATGACAGTGAGGCGTATTTGTCGTCTCCTGAAGAATTTTACGAATGTAGAATACAACATATTAGAACGTGGGTATCTGACATTTTAGAAATATTCTCAAAAGCTTCCTAGAAGCTCCATAAGAAACCTTCTAAGAACATTCCAAAAACGTATTCTTAAAATGTTCTTAGGATGCTTTTTAGGAAGGTTTTAAGAAGCTTTTAAGAATCTAATTGCATCATTAAAAGGGTATCTATTGAATGTTTTAAAAGTCCCTAAGAACATTCTTAGCAATAAGGGAAGGTTCTAAGAATATTTCATTATTCCGGGTCATATCTTCTTAGAAGATTCTTAAAATCAAATTTTGCTATCAGGGTACCACTTCAAAGTAATACTTAGTGATGTGATATGGTTACAGTTACTATTCATAATCCACTGTAAAGTTTAGACAACTTTAAGGTGGGGTCAAAAGTGGTCATAACATTTCATATACCAGACTAATACACCAAAAAGTTAACTATGTTAATATAATATGGAGATATTTTAACTGTATCGTGGTAGATTTAGTTATTTAAACGTTATTCGGCCACTTGATGTAACTCTCCTGGTTCCGTTAAAAATATCACCAGAAAAGAAATAAGTATTGGTTTGCGTTTTATTACCTGACAAGCTGATACGTTTCATTTAATGTAGTCTTGTTTCCCCCACTACGTGTTTCCGGCTGTTCATCTTTATGATATCCAAGCAAGCCATGACTCATAAATCAAACAGATTCTAACCTCGAAATTTAAACGGCTGCTTCAGAGATGCCATGTCCACTTATTTGAAGTGGTGACATCAGTTTCCGTCACTATAATGCTACTTGGGGGGACCCATAAAAACATTGCGCCGTGTGATTCAGATTCAGTTAAACTCAGTGTCTGTCTTAATTTTTTCTATCAGGAAGAAAACGAAAAAAATCAACATGAAGGTTATTTTCGTGGTCGCTTTAGTTTTCGCAGTGGCGTACTCTGCCGATGAGAAGAATGAAGCGGAAAAATCAGAAGACAGGCCCAAAATTTTCAAAAGGCTTATCCCTGCAGACGTACTAAGAGGTAAGAAGATCCAAATTGTACCAATTAGACAAATTAGGCCAAATTTAAACGTTAATAACTTTTTAATTTCAAATGTAACACCCTGTATGTTTTTACATAATCAAATAGTAAATTGAAAAACCTTTCCCTATACCTTATTCATAATTTCAGAGATATTTAACAATTTCTAAAATTTTAAATATCATTTTGTATCAAGAAACCTGTGATGGGTGAGTTGACGGTATCTATGGTTACCACGTAATCTGTTATTGTACGAAATTTAATGGGGTAATTTAATCAGGTTGTTATAAACAATGTGGATTAGATATATTTAAATCATCCTGTTCCGGCCTAAACGTTATAAATGCTTCACAAACTACAGATGCCACACTTGATGATATTTGCAACAAACTATTTCAGAAGACAGACCAAGGAATTAGTAGTTACCTTTAGAATCCAGAAACGGGATGATCCGAAAAAGAAATATACGAGGTGTGTTCAGAAAATATCGGGAATTTTCGTTTTTTGAAACAAATATTTATTTATTCGTCTACATTAATGTTGTCGCCTTCAAAATAGTCCCCATTTGATATTATGCACATGTGCCAGCTCTTCTTCCAATACTCTAAACACTTCTAAAACTCGATCTTTGGGATATCCTTTAGTTCTTTCATCGATGCGCTTTTAATGTCATCTATGCTTGCAAAACGACGGCCCTTTAAGGTTTTCTTTATTTTTGGGAATAGGAATGTATGTTTTTGAGATTCGCAATTTGGGTTAGAAAACCGAATTTGACGCCAGAAACAAAATTATTTTTTTTTCAGATTTTCCTGGAATGTGCTTTGCTTCCAACCTTTGCGCCCCTGTAGAAGTTGGCAAAACCTGGGAACTGATCAAATTCTGTGGCAGATCAACCTGCTTACGTGAACGAGTCAAACCACCACAGGGTCTAGTAGAGTTGATTGAAGATTGCGGACCTCTCCCATGGGCCAACCCCAAATGCAAATTGGATGAAGGTAAGACCCCAAAGCAATTGCTTACATAGTAAAAAAATATTTGTTAATTTTAATCGGATTTTATTTTAATCCACTCTTATTAGTGGCTGCTTCCCTGATAGCAAAATTTGATTTCAAGAATCTTCGAAGAAGATATGACCCGGAATAATTCTTAGAACCTTTCCTTATTGCTAAGAATGATCTTAGAAACTTTTAAAACATTCAATAGATACCCATTTAATGATGCAATTAGATTCTTAAAAGCTTCTTAAAACCTTCCTAAAAAGCATCCTAAGAACATTTTAAGAATACGTTTTTGGAATGTTTTTAGAAGGTTTCTTATGGAGCTTCTAGGAAGCTTTTGAATATTTCTGAATATGTCAGATACCCACGTTCTAATATGTTGTATTCTACATTCGTAAAATTCTTCAGGAGACGACAAATACGCCTCACTGTCATAATATGACAGTGAAATGTATTTGTCGTCCCCTTAAAAAATTATTGCGACATATTAATATATAATTATTAAAAAATATTAAATAAACAATTTGACCTCTAAACCATAAGTTGTATGACATTATTTCATAAAAATTAAAATTGGAAAATTTTGTGGGATAAGTCAGATTAGATTGAAGTTGAAGATAGTTAGGATTATTATACATAAAAATGTTAATTCGGAAATAAAAAATCGGTATACAAATTATAAATATTTATTTTTAACATAAAATAAAATACCTATAGTTAAAGTATTTTTGTTATCGAATATTGTTTCAATTTGACAAATCACTATAAAAAATATTTTGAATTGTGTTTTTTACTTACTATTTAATACTAATTAATAATTAGGTACTTAAGTATAGGTATTTATACGTAGTTTATGGTATATTTTACTATTATATAGGTAACTGAACTAAATATGCTTAGCAGGAATATTCCTAAATGCACTTTCTATAGCAATTACTTTCTTAATATTTTAAGCATATGTTTAGAGTAGACTAATTTTTACACTAAAACTTTGCACCTTCTAAGAACCTGCATATAGGCCAGTAGAATATTCTTAGAATCATGCTATATGTCTTTTAAGCATGTTCTTTAGAATAAATATAGCATGACCCTAAGAATATTCTCACTGGAAGGTTTAAAAAACATTCTTAGAATATAGTGTGCTATCAGAGTTTTTCACTTATCCCATGGGATATTATGATATCCCAACATTTAACATCCAATTCTTATGTAAAATGGTCCTGTGAATCCGAAAATACTGTCAAAAATTATAAAAGTAGAGCAGTTTTTGAGATATAGTCAATTCCATATTATTTGGAAAATTGACTACATCTCAAAAACTGTTCTTTTCTAACTTTTGACGACATTTTCGGATTTAGAAGATGAAATAAAATAACTAAAAAACCTATTTTTTTTATAGAAAAAACCAACAAGAGCGCTGCCTTCCCAGATTGCTGCCCACAGTTCATATGCGAAGAAGGAGCTAAATTGGAGTTCCCCGAAACAACTGAATTTCCATTTTTATATCGTTACGAAAAATAAAAATTTAAAAAAATCAATATCGAAATCTCAAATTTATTTTGTCTGATTCTAAATTTTTATTTTTTTATTACTTATTTTCTTCTTTTCAGTATCTCTCCTTATTTTGCATGTTTTCTCGACTTTTCTTCGAATACTTTTTTAGTCAAAATAATACTTTTTGTTTTATAAATTATTGATTTCTGTTTTTAACCATGTTAGTGCTAAAACATTTCTGGAAATAAAAATAATTTTTAAAAGACTTGTTGGTTTTATTTTATTGAATTGCTCCATTATAACAAGTTTTTAAAATATTTTAACCCATTTTTTTTGTATTGTTTGACATCACAATATGTTTTTTGTTACCCTTTTATTTTGGATTTCTGAAAAAAAAATATTTTTGATAAAACAGGATTTTTTTGGTCAAAATAGAGCAATACCAAAAAAGATATTGGCCCAATATTCGTAATAATATTTTCAAAAGCACGTTTGTAGAAAAATATAATAAATATTCAAAACATCAGTACCTTGGCGTGTCACAACTCCTGAATCAAATATTTGAGTGATTTTATTTTAAAATATATTCAATTTATCTTAAATTTTTCAATTTCGCTACAAACTAAAAAACATTAAATAATGTATTTTTCATATTTTATCATAGATTCGAATAATAGCAATTTTTAAAAAATTGATAATCTTTTATCCGTCAGTTATGTGTCCAATGTTAAAATTCAAAATTCCTGCGAAATATTGAAGTTTAAACGTCAAGTCCTCATTTTAACTTAAGTGTTGGTAAAAAATTACCTACAGAGCCCGCCCTTTGCACGACAGTCATCTTGAAAACAATGCAAGCGGTGAAGTTGTGGTGAATGCGCGTATAGTTCCAGTCAAAATTTCAGTACTGTGGTGAGTAGTTATTTTCTTACGTATATTTCATTGTAGTTTATATAAGGCTATATGTGATTTGTTGATAAGTAGCATCCACTAATAAAAAATATCAGTAAAATACTTAATTCCGAATTATAATCTCAAATTTGCATCCCATTCATCAGTACCGTGTCGTCAGTTCCATGTTCGATGTTTCGGTTAACTTTTTTTCGCAAACTTCAATTTAAATTCTGCTTTCGCAGAACTTGTTTATTTAATGTCATTATAAACTCATATAAATTTGATGTGGGTTCCATATCTAATAATTGAGATATCGGTATACCCAAAATCCACCAGCCGCCACTGATGTGTGGTATTATTTGATTTTAAGATATTTAATGTATAATATGCTCAAAGTTGCAATAAATCTTATATTTTCCAATAAATTATGTATTTAATTAGTACCCTGGTATACTCGTCACTTCCCTTGCATTCAAATTCAGAAAACACAGATATTTCAGAAACTGTTTGAAAAAGTGACTGGCCCGGTCTGGAACAGTATATTTATTATATTATCTATGTTATCATAAGAAAATACTGTTAAACTTTCTCCGAAAACTATATAAACAAAATGAGGTCAAAAATTGTGCCAACTTTTGTAGAATCACCCATATCTAAGTTTAAAAAAACGAAAATTTTAGTTAAAATTTCTTCTCGTCTAATTATTAACAAACTGACAAGAACAAACAATGGCAAACTCTATAATTAAGGCGTAATACAGGTCAAGAGTGTCAAGCCGCGCGATTTCTACTCAAAACGGAACTTATTTCGTGCTTAAAAATGACATATTATTACGTAAACGGTGTGCAATTGTTTCGGAGCTGTCAACTAAACCACGGACGCCGGGGATACACGCTTTCTAGTCGGCGTTGCATTGAAACAAATTAAGTAGGTACCTAATTAACCTGCGAAACAAAGGACGAATTGGAAATTCTTATTAGGGTGTTTTTAAATATGTAGTTTTAAGATCTCGGTTGTTATTTGTTATTTTATTACGTTTAATTTAAAAAAAAACAGACATGTTTTTTATTATTATTTGTTATTTCAAATAGAACACACCCCCCATATATTTTTACATTTTTAAATTCAACATAAAATTCAGAGTAAAATTACTATACCATGTCCTATACCTAAAGTGGTTTATAAATATGGGGGTGGAATCATTGTTTAAAGGATTTTATGTCAATTCTTTAACATTTTAACTAATCTGTCATTGTTTAAAATTTAATAGCGTCAATTTTTCAGATTGTTATACGAGGTGTGTTCAGAAAATAACGGGAATTGTTAAATTTCGCGGGTTTGGAGGGTCCGGTTGTCATAAAATTTTCTTTATTATGTTGGTATACATGCCCCCGAAGTATGATAAAAACTTTAGCTGTTTTCATTGTTTACTTTGTCTGTGGCAGCCGCTAAGGTTAGGCGTGTTTTAGCAGCTCGGCGATTTTTCGTTGGTTAAAAGAAATGGATCAAAGAATTTGTATCCAATTTTGCTTAAAAAATGAAATAAATTCTGTGAAATGTTAACAAAGGCCTAGAGTGAGTCTGCTATAAGTAAAACAAGAGTTTACAAGTGGTATAAGAGTTTCCAAGATGGCCGTGAAGACGTTGAAGATGACGAACGCCCCGAACGCACAAGCACATTAACAACCGATAAAAACATGGAAAAAGTGGAAGAAATAGTTATAAACCATCAGAGAAGTCGCTGATGATGTTGGTATATCGATTGGCTATCCCATGAAATTTTTTCGAATGTTTTGGGTATGAAACGCGTGGCAGCAAAATTTGTTCTAAAATTGTCAAATTTTGCACAACATTTTTGGCCAAAAACAATACTGTAATGATTCCCCAGCCTCCATATTCGCCAGACATGCCTCTGTCTGACTTTCTCCTATTCCCAAAAATAAAGATAACCTTAAAGGGCCGTCGTTTTGCAAGCATAGATGACATTAAAAGCGCATCGCTGAAAGAACTAAAGGCTATCCCAAAGATCGAGTTTTAGAAGTGTTTCGAGTATTGGAAGAAGAGCTGGCACATGTGCATGATATCCAATGGGGACTATTTTGAAGGCGACAACATTAATGTAGACGAATAAATAAATATTTGTTTCAAAAAACGAAAATTCCCGATATTTTCTGAACACATCCTAATATAAGTTTTTATATTTACTGTCATTTTTGCTCCTGGCGCTTGAAAGACTCCTTCAATAAATTCTGCGAACAGTAATAAATTAAAATATGTATTTATACCGAATGATTCCTTCAAGAGCAACAAAAAAAATAAATCACTTAATGAATAATATTAATATTTTATTGCAACATTAATAATTTATTACTTGAATTCGCAATTTGCATCATACGAGAAAAAAAAGATACTTTATTATTTATTACAATTATTTATTATTGTCAGTTTTAAAACGACTTGTCGTGTTGTGTAATTAAGTAAGTCTTTAGACCGTCCTCTGTCCTGATTTTACTTTACGTATCAATTATGTAACAAATCTATAGATCGCAGGTTAATTGATTTTGGTTTCAGCAGCGCACACTTAGATAAAATGTTGTTGCATAAAAGACGCAAGATGCAACACCATGATGTGGTGTTTTTTTTTTATTGTTTTTACGTTTTTTAATTATTTGATTATCATCAAAATTGGTAATTCGAGAAATTGTAGTAATAAGGATACATTTCATATAACAGAAGTATTTCAGTTTTATTTTGTTAAAAAAAAATGTTTATGGAAAAAATATATAATTTTACTCGTCGAGTAATTTTTAAATATTTTATAATAAATAAATGGGGAATTCAATTATGCTAAAATGTTATTTCAAAATACATAAAAATTTAGACTTTGGTTGAACAAAGAAGAAGAAGAAAGTCTATATTTGGAACAGTCGAAGAAAAAATAGAAATGATTTTGATTTATGGAGAAGCAGGCATAAATCTTGATGATGTTAATATCTACGCTCAGCGTTTTCCGGAAAAAATTCGATCACGTACTTCATTTCACCGTACAGTCAAGCAGGTTACTACAAACGGGAGTGTTCAACCGAAAAAAGAGTTCGTCGAGGTGGAAATAATGAAATTAATGTATTAGCAGCAACGGCCGCTAATCCTCATGCAAGCACACGAGAATTATCTAGAGATTTGGGAATATCCCAGAGCAGTGTTAGCAGAATATTAAAACGAAATGCGAATTAATAATTGCAGTGAAGTCGAAGGCCACCATTTTGAGCACCTACACGGAGAGAAAACTATAATGCTGATTACCATAATTATAATACCCTTTACTATAATTTATATAACTATTTGGGACAACTATCTTGTATATTGCCAGATACTATGCATATTTAGTAATTTTTAAATATCTATGTATATTAAACCTTAAGGTAAAATATTATTATTCTCAACCAATTTTTTTTTTATTCTTATTATAATTAGATTTTTTCCGTTATTAATAAGTATAGTAAATTTTAAAATATTATGTTGCCATTTTAAATATAAAATATTTTAAAATCGAATATTTTTATATGTTAAAAATTAAAAATTGTAACATATTTATTGTACTTTTTAATATACAAAAATGTTATTAGAAAGAATTGAACCTACACCTCGCCAAAGTTTTTTGTTTTGAGTGCGTTCCATCAACTTCAAATACCGACAGACAGGTGTTTTGACCTATATTGGGTATCATCAGTGTCGACACGACACTGTCGAGCAACTTGTAGTAGTGGAACACACCCAAAACAAAGAAATACCTGAGCTTATATAACATGGTTGGTAAGCCAACAGAGGCGAGATGTAAGAACATCACGTGATCCACACCGTCTAACGACGCGTCGCGACGTGGCCTTTGCCGCAATCGGTACATACTATGCAACCAAGTAGGTTCAATTCTTTCTTATAAGTATTACCAGTAATGGGTCAAGAAAGTTTATTGAAGAAACTAAGAAAATTGAATGTTTAAAATGTCATGAGTTACTATATTGTATATTATATTTAAATATATTGTTTATTTACCTTAAACATAAATGTATCTTTATTTTTACTATATTTTTTATTAATGTGTAATATATTATAATATTAGATGTACACCTTACATTTGATTAAATCATATAGCAAATATTACTATTTGTAGATAGTAAAATCAATTTACTATACGAACATATTAAAAATTAAAATATATATTATACATTTATGATTTAGTAATATTGGTGTTGTAATCTTTAATCAAATTGTATAATAAAAAATACACTGAAAGAAATTTGTTGCTAAAAGTAAATACAAATTTATACTAAAAATTTTATACTAGTGCTTTACACATTTATACTACTGTTTATTATGAATGTATGTTAAATTTTGTAATACATTTATTGTAAAGAAGATATGTTAGATCTAAATAAAAATAAACTTACCCTTACTATAAAATGTAAACTATAAGTGAATTACAGCAAAAAAATATTGCTAGAAACACCATTTATATTGCTAGGGCAGCAATAGGCTGCTAACCAAACGAATATATTTGTTTTAGCAATGTATGTGGTAGTCCATATATGAAACATAAAATATATTTGCCCTAATTATTTTTTTATTTAACTTTAGTATATATTTCTTTCAGTGTAGTATTTTTTATTACAATCTTAATATTGTTATCCTAAAAAATTGTTATTTTTTTACTATCTAAAATTTATTATATATTTCTCTCCGTGTACTTTAATTAAAATTTAAAAAATAAATAAATTTAAAAAATAAATCCAAGTATTTTATTTAAAAATTGTTGGAGAATCGTATAGAAGATCGTATAGAAGATTGTGCTACTTGGGCTATTGTTACTTAGTTTATAAATTTTAATAAGACACACTAAAATTTCAACGAAATTCAAGCAAAAACATCAAACCGCAAGTAATAAAAAGCAACTCTTCCTTGAAAGAACAAATACAACTTTTCACAAGCAGCCTGGTGGTACACCGTACACATGGTGGGATAACTGGGGGACCCCACCATTGAGAACCCATAAAAACCGTGCGACGTGCGAATCGCATTCAGTTACTACCAATCGCTCCTGCCCGAAACCAAAAGGTGTGAGGTTAAACTCAGTGTCTGTCTTCATTTTTTCTATCAGGAGGAACCCGAAAAAAATCAACATGAAGGTTATTTTCGTGGTCGCTTTAGTTTTCGCCGTGGCCTACTCTGCCGATGAGAAGAAGGAAGCGGAAAAATCCGAAGACAGGCCCAAAACTTTCAAAAGGCTTATCCCTGCAGACGTACTCAGAGGTAAGAAGATCCAAATTGTACCAATTTTTTATTAAATTTTTTTAAACACCCGGTATATTTACATTTTAAATATCATTTTGTATCAAGAAACCTGTGACCGGTGAGTTGACGGTATCTATGGTTACCACGTAATCTGTCATTGCTAAAGCCGCGTTTACACTTTGTGAATTAAAAATTTATCGACTATCATTTAAATTATTCTTTAAAAATTTAAACCAATAGTCTTGTGGAATTAAACATTAATACTGTAAAAACAAGAGTTCTATAAATAGTTACCTTAATGACACGTTACTTTGGTGGTAAGATTTTTGTTTTTTTGTTAAAAGCATCGCTTTGTTTAAATTACAATAAAAAATATCTCTAAAAAGTGTACATGTACACTGCACACATGTGCAGATCAGTGTGTGGTATAAATGTGTTCCTCATTGTTTAAACATTGTCACTTTAATGCGTTTTAATTTTAATTCTAAAAACAAACAGTAAAATGGCCAGTGTCCAATTACTGGTTGGTAAAAAATGTAAATTTCTATTATTGGACATAATATGTCCAATATCATACTCTATTTGCATCCCGGACATTTACCAGCCAATTCTTATGTAAAATTGTCCCCTGAATCCGAAAAAAGCAGTTTTTGAGATATAGTCAATTCCATATATGTAAAATTGATTATATTTCAAAAACTGTTCTACTTTTATAACTTTTCTCGACATTTTCTGATTCAGCGAATAAAATTTCATAGGAATTGTATGGCACGCCGTTTTAGCATTTATTAGATAAAAGTTTAAAGATTAAAGTTTAGCACTTAAATTATGTTTTAACAGAAATTTATAAAGTTAATTTTTTTAAACTCAAAACAATTGATAGTCAACAAAATATTTTAAATATAAATGCAACAGTAACAATTTATGTTTAAAAATATTGATTTTTTAAAGTTTTGGTTATAATATTTTATTCTACAAAATTATTGGTTTAAATTTTAAAAGAGTCATTTAAATGATAGTTGATAAATTTTTAATACAAAAATTCTCACATTACATTTAAAGGTAAGTTTTAAATTTTAAAGTAGTAATTTTTGGATTAAAAATTTATCGACAATCATTTAAATGACTCTTTACAAATTTAAACCAAATTTTTTATTTTTAACAATTTCAAAGTGATATATTTTAAGACAAAATTTATAACTTTACATTTAAATGTAAGTCGATAATTTTTAAATTACAAATTGTAAACGTAGCTTTAGTATAAGGCACAAGAGTCTGGGATCGGAGCCACGATGCAGCCAGTTTGATCCGCAGTGTTACAAAATCGTGCTTGCTCCATAAATATTTGACGCGTTTTAGAAATTATCGTATTGAAATTTTTCTTTATTAAATAAATTTAATTATGGAAAAACAACATTTTTAGTGCCTATTGTACCAAGATAATTTGACAATTAAAAAACATTTTTTCTAATTTTTAAGAGATTTTTTTTAAAATGTAGTGCCACAATATTACGTGGATGCAACCCTATACCTATAACTTATAGGTTATAGGTATATGAATGCAACATACAAATTCCCGTTTTCCGGCTTTTGTGGTGAGGTTAAGTGTTAAGCCTGATTTATAGATTGCCTTCCTTCCTTCCTCCCGTAGAAGATAAACAATACAATCCCGTACGGGAATCTATAAACGGCACTGGGAATTTGTATGATGCATCCACGTAATATTGTGGCACCACATTTAAAATTTTTTCTCTTAAAAATTAGAAAATTTTTTTTTTAATTGTCGAATTAACTTACTACAATAGGCACTAAAAATGTTGTTCTATTATTAAATGTATGTAATAAAGAAACATTTCATAACCATAATTTGTAAAACGCGTCAAATATTTATTTATGGAGCAAGCACGATTTGGCAACACTGCGGATCGAACTGGCTGCATCGTGGGTCCGATCCCAGACTCTTGTGCCTTCTACTAAAGCTACGTTTACACTTTGTAACTTAAAAATTATCGACTTACATTTAAATGTAAAGTTATAAATTTTGTCTTAAAAATGTATCAATTTAAAATTGTTAAAAATAAAAGTTATTTGTTTAAATTTGTAAAGAGTCATTTAAATGATAGTCGATAAAATTTTAATGCAAAAATTACCACATAAAAATTTAAAAATAACATTTAAATGTAATGTTGAAACTTTTGTATTGAAAATTTATCGACTATCATTTAAATAACTCTTTACAAATTCAAACCAATAATTTTGAAGATTAAAATATTAAAATAACATTTTTTTAAAATCAATATTTTTAAACTTAAACTTTTATATTTAAAATATTTTTTGATTATCATAGGTTTTGAGTTTACAAAAATTTAACTCTTTAAACTGTTTTGGTAGAAAATGTTTTATGTGATTTATTTTAAATGGCTTAATACTATTTTTAAATACTAAAAAATTTAACTTTACCAAATTAATCTCAATAATTTTATAAAATATTTATTTAAGTTTACAAAATGCCACCCAAATAAATTATACTTGGGAAATTATTTTTATTAAAAAATTTTTGCAAAAATTGATAGAAAATAATATTGTTTAATACAGAAGTTAGTTAGTAAATTTTGTCTTTCAATACATGGTAGTTGAAAAGATTTTAAATTTATAAATGTAAACCTAAAATTTTTTGTTAGGAAAATTTTAAACCAATAAAATTTTAAATTAATAAATTATTTAATAAATGTTAAAACGGCGTACCATAGAATTGACTGCTAAATGTCCTGGATACAAATTGCTGTTGACGAGAATTATTAGTGGCTGCTTTTTCGCTATGATATTTTAGACGAATTCATTTTTAGAGAGTAAGTAATATAGTGATTTCTTCGTCACAGGACATCTTGCAGAATAGCAGTGATTTAAACAGAAAACATAAAAAACTAATGGCAACAAAATTAATAAATTCGGAAAATACTTTTAACATACCACCCGAAAAAATATTAGATAACATAACATAACATTTTTAATTTGACATTCTATAGCATTTCTAAAACTGTTGATTTATAACAAATTCATTTCTCTCAGTTTAGTTAAGTAAATTACCATTTTATTTTAATTAGAAGTCGTAAATTGGATGCATAAGCATCTTGTCACTTTCTAAAATGTTCAAAAATGAATTTCATTTATTTATGGTTTTTTTTTGGTGTGGATCCAGGTTACCTCATGACTAAAAACAATTGAATAAATTTTTTTTATACCAATCACATTAGTCGTAACTTAGTTGGTTCTAAAAATAGTCTTAACAATGATCCATTCTCTAAAATCTACAGCGTAATTCCTTTAAACATAAGATTGCAAATTTTGATAAAACGTCTCAAATTACCCGTAATTGCTTCCTTCTTATATGTATATGCCTTCAGATTTTTCAAGCCACCTCACCATCAAATTACTTAATTGAAAACGACAAAACTGTTTCCTTGAACGTTTTAAAATGGCAAATACGCAACAATTTTGTAATAATATAACTCGCCGTGCCAATTTCATGTTTTATTTACATTCCAATTCTAAGCTCAAATTTCAATACGACAATAATTGATGGCAGTTTTATGCTTGAAAGACAATATTAATAGTATAAATATATACTTAATTTACCATTTGTTATGCATAAAAGTTGCAGCGGATCTTAGTCAGTGAGAGCGTTTTTGTCATAATTTTAAAAAAATATTTAAAAAAATTATTCTAAATTTTTGTATGTGAGGGCAGTTTCCAATTATCAAATTTTCTTCGAATCCGGGCAGTTTTCAATAACCCGAAACATTAATTTTAATGTGCAGTTTTTAATTGTACAACAGGTTAATTCATTCAACGGGTAACTTGTACTATTTAATAAAGTTTGGCTTAACTCAGAAAAGCCGTTTTTTATGTTCAATATTTTATTTGATAATTTTTTTTGGGCAACTCTTTCAGAAAATTTTTGTTTAGTTATTTCAGAATAATTTTTTTTTATTTTTAACTTGTAAAAAACACATTTTCGCATGTACCTTTTTATAAAACTTACATACCTACATGTTTTTTTCCATAACATCCTTAGTTAATGCAGTAAACAATTTATATATAAAATAATTAATTTTAATCTACTTTTTTTTAAATTTGACTCATGTCCCAGACATTTTTTCCGTTGCGTTACGTCCGTCGCGTTACCGATAGAATATTAAAAAAACATATATATGGCAACTTTTTTGGTACTCACGTGATCAACAAATGATGTTCGGACGTACACATTACCCAGCTGAATTTATTTATTCAATCAGGAAGAAGATATCGGTTGAAACAGGTGCGGGTAACGCGAATGTAATAATTGTTTGTCCGCTATGTTACTTAAAAAATAATAAAAATAAGGTAAGAAAAAATACTATTTTTCATGTTTATGTTTATTTTAGGGCACTAAAGCTCATTGAGAGTAATTAATGACTATAATGTCTTATTATTATTTTTTAAATATGGTTTTACAAAACTTTGTCTACTGCGTTACCGAGTCCACTATGTTACCTTATTGTAACGCAATGGAATTTATAAATAGGGTAACGCAATAGAATTTTTCGACAACAAATTGGATATTTACCGTCTCTTTTATTAAAAGTAGTTTATGATTAACCAATTTAAAATTATTTGTAATTACAACTCATGATATAGATTACATCCAAGGAAAAATTCCACGCAATATAAAAGTACTAAAAGGGACCTTCACCAGCTTATAGTCAAAGAAAAAGGGTGTCTACAATTTAGGAATCTAAGTTGTTATTCTGCAAGTGAGCACCACTACAAGATATTACTCTAAAATCGTACCACCCTATATATATATATAGTTTCTTTTTTACGTTATCTGATTAAGTCCTTTGTGTACCCCTGTCCGTTGTGATACCAATGTCTATTTCGTTACTTTTTTTAGTTTTTGTTAAAAAAAATACTTAAAATGATTTTTATACACTATCACTTGGTAATACGTGTTTATAAATTAGAGTTTAATTCACTAA